AATTCTTTAAAAAAGGAAGAAAAATATTCATAGGTCTCACTTGACCAAAATTGTTGAAGCCACATGACTTATGCCAGATCTGAATTTTCTACTACAAGTAGGCATTTGTTCTTCAGTTTTACTAGTTAACATAAGTACTAGGAATCCACCCATGCTATCACTTCCCTGCAAACACAGTTTATCTTTTTCCAGACTTCAGAGAAGATAGAACCTGCCATAAATTGTGTAAACTCTTAAGCCAAACCATCTGAGGAGAATGTCTGTTGAAAAACCATACATCTTCCTCAAGCCATATTTAAAAATAGCTTGCTTAGAATATTAGGAAATTTCAATTAGATTAAGATGTACATGTAGTTATTGCCTGGTCCATTGCTCCTGCACTTGATCTGTCTTGTCTTTGAGTGCCTGCTGTGCTTACAGTCTCATTGAAACAACACTTCTTGACACTATTTCCAGTGAAACTTCTGGATGGAGGTGGCTACCCCATCTCGCATGCTTTCTGCAGCTGGCACATAATAAATCACAAATAGGGACATGAAAATAGAGTTACCAGAAAATCTCATTAAAATAACTAATCTTACTGTTTCTCCACAACTTGTGACCATGGGTCACTATGGCCACAGTACCTCTCCAATCTTCTTCAGTTAACACTTCTTTCTAGCCGATGTTTGCCCACCTTCTGCAGGTCACACTTCACGAAGGTAGACTCCTGAGCATTGTGTGTGTGTCTATGCAATTGTTACAGTTCAACTGCAATCAGAATGATTTCCTTATCCAAGTTGAATCTCATCTCCCTTCATTTTCCAAAATTGGATTCAGGTGACTCCACGGCTTTCAATTAATCTTTCATTAATTTCAAAACATTTATGCTTAAGTTTTAGCAGTAGCCATGAACCAAACTACTCAGGTTGTTCTATCTTTGCGGGAAGAATTTGAGACCTCTGAGCTTGGAAGCAGCCATAGCTACAGGCGAAGTCACAGCCATTTCAGTATCTTTACAGGTGCATAAAATCTGCCACTGAGGTCCCAGTGCAGCAAAACTTTCAGTGATGAAATTGCAGTGTCTACAAGAAAAAGTACCCTACCTGCAGGCATTAGATGCAGAGCATAAGTCAATGCTAAAAGAGATGGAGCAATGCTGCTTGCACATGTTTGCAAGCTCTAACAATAGGTAGCTGGCTTCCTTTATCCAGGCAAATTTCCCTTGCTCCTGGCAAAGTGACTCATGATAAGCAGTTTTGAACAGGTTACATAAAGTGCTTGTAATATGCTAAACAGAAGAGCTGCAAGATATGTAATGACAAGAAACAAACTCTAATTATATACTTGTGTGGCACCCTTCAGACTAAACAGAGATTGTGGTAATCCAGTAACAGATTTTCACAAGTGCACATTTATATCTATTCTATTTTCTGGTGTGATTTTCTTCTGCACTTCTAATGTGCTTTGACAGACCTCTCTGAGCTTTGTTCTTGCCATCACCCCATTATTAAGCATCAGGATGCTACTGAAATCTGATTTCACAGGGGGCAGGCTCAGGGCTTGTGTGATTGATGGCATTGCAATGCAATGCAATGAAACTGCATGTGTGTCAGCAACTTCTCACAACAAAGTCTGCAAAATAGAGAGGAAATGAAAAAAAGTGGCACCTGCATACTCCAGATGTCTGTGACTGGATACAGATATCCAAGAGAAACTATAGTTTGGTGACCTGATTTTTGCAAGCATGCAATGGAACAAATGACCAGTCTCTCCTATATCCCTTATCCTTTTTTTCTCTGAGAAAAACCTTCACAACAAAAAAAACCCCACAAACCCAAACAAACAAAAAACCCAAACCAAAACCCCAAAGCAAAAGAAACAAAAGCTAACCAACAAAAAACCCTCCACCCTGAAAGAACTGGCCACAGTCTGCAGAATTTACAATTTCTTTGATCTCAAAGCTATTTTAATTCTCTACCTTAAAACTGCATGGAACATATATCTGTGAAGTGTCTCTTTCATTAACTAAGTTCTTTGATCTGGGTGACTGAAACAATTTATTATTCATATTCACACTGTAGACTTAACAACTTCTCAAAATTTACAAATAGACAGAAAATCCGTAAGTAGCTTCAGATTATAATGTTTGTAAAAAAAAGCATGCAGCTGAGCAGCCTAGCAGCCGCACCTTAAAAGACATCATTTAAAAGAGAGAAAAACACCCTGGTTTTCAAATGGGAGAAAAAAAACCACACCCAAAAAAAAACCAACCAAACAAAACCAACCAAACAAAAACCAACCAAACAAAACCAACCAAACAAAAACCAAAGGAAAAAAACCCACCCAAAAATCTAAACAACCCCAAAACAAATAAACAGAAAGTTGTGTTCCCTCTTCTCTCAAGACTTTGACTACATAATAACTAACAATTAAAAGCCAGAAGAGCATTTATGTCAAAATACAGCAGCAGAAAAACTGAAAGGTACACAGAAAACAGGGGAAAGAAGGAGCATGATTCATAATAAAAATTATGCTCTGTGTTGGTCCAGTTATGCATTTCAGAGTCTGAAAGGGCTTGCAATGCTCATGCAAGCCCTTTCACAATGTTGTAGTAATGTAAGAAATTTCTCAGGACTTCAAGATGTTTACATTCATGCAGATGGCAAGTCAGCTGACTACTATAGGAAATTGAAGAGCTGGAGACTTAATTAATTCAGATAAAGATGTTACCTACCTCTATTTTAGCTGAGATGAACAAAATAATGAAGGAAATATTGCAATAATCTAAAACTCCAGAGAAAAACCTGATAGCCTTACAGTCTACTTTTTATTCTGGGAAGTTTTATTATGGGTGAAGCCACAAGTGCTCTTCTGCAGATAGCTTGTTTTCACCTGACTAAAGTTAACTTAAGCAGTGAAAAACTGTCATTACTACAGAACTTTGTAATATGTGCATAGTAGTTATAACTACCTGAAACAGCCCAAGTAGCTGAAAAAGCACCATCTGAGGAACAAGATCTTCCCCAGGCCAGACTTCTGGAGAAGTGGCACAGGAAGTCACGGGAAGGACTGTTAAGTATTTTTCAATCAAACACGTGTAACAATACATGACTGGAGAACTGTAAATGGAACACCCTTGGGCAATTTAAGACAGGCAGCATCTATCTGCAAACAAGCCTTCTACAGAGCAAGCTTTCTCTGTGTAACTTACCTAAAACCATGGAACTAAATGAGCAATTATATGAAATGCCTCTGATGAACACAAGTCCTACTAGGCTTACCCTATACTTCCAGACATATTATTGATACCTCTGAACAACCATTTAAAAAAAAGAAACAATGTATATGGAATATCTGAAGGAGGTGAGAATCACAGAATCACAGAGCAGTTTATGTTGGAAGGGACCACCCGTAGGGTCATCTGGACCAACCTCCCTGCTCAAGCAGTCTTCAAGATTTTACAGAAGGTGCAAAGTTTCTAAGGAATTTGACTTAAGAAAAGAGAGACATTGTTAAAAGTGAGGCAGTTAGCTCTGCATGGATAAATTTTGAGATCAAAATTTATTAATTTTTTTTTTTAATTATGGCAAAGGGAGGAGTATGATGATACTATTAGGTAATAATACTAAAATTTTAGGGGCATATGCAGCAGAGGATCTTGAACATAGAACAACTGAAGGTGTAATCATATGAAAAGGAAATAAATTGGCATACGATACAACAACTGGCGGTTCAGGGACAGAACTTGGAGGTGACATTTACTATGATCTGTGAGTGTGATGTGGCTGTGAATCACAGGTCTTGTCAGAGGTACTTCCAATAGATACACAGTAGAATTTGTGCCATAGTGAGAAGACTTTCTACAGCTTCCTCTGGAAGGTTGTGAATTTATAGTTGAAAAGGAACGTAGAAGAGTATGTGGGATGACCAGGGGGAATGGAAGCATGCCTACAGCTATTACTAGTCTAGTCTAGTAACATAAACCTGGAGAAGTTCAGGCACTGAACATTTCTTCCTTTCTCATACTAATTGTCAAGACAAATTCTGACTTCTATATTTTAAAGTCGTCAGTTGGGAAATTTAAACTAACCTGTATTCAAAACAAACATTATTTCCTTCCATTTCTGAGAAAATTATCTGGAATGCTAAGGCCACCAAGGTACTGGCAACATAACTGCCAGGAAAAGGGGTGGTAAAAGTAATAGCTTATTAATCTCCTTGACTTTACCAGCAGTACTGTAAGCAGCAACCAGAAATTAAAAATCCTAATCACTGTATGTACTGCAGAAGCATGTGGACGACTGGGCTAGATTACAGAATTAATTTTAAAAACATAACGACCATTTCTTTAAGATGATCTGTCAAAGTAGTGACCAAATTCAGCAGCTAACAATTTGGCTGTGTAAACATGTAAAGAAAAATTTGCTCTTATAGCTCAGCTTAGTTATCAAAATTGCTAGTGGACCTAAATAATGCTGGTCACAGACAATCAGTATCAGAAAAACAAACCCCAAACCACTATCAGCAATATCTAAATGGACTATTGATGCATGCTCCTACATTAAATATGTCCTCTCTTACACATCTCTTTTTAAAAAAATACTTAGCAAACAAATAGTGGTCTGCTTGGCAAAGTGCTAGAAAGGTGCTTTGCTTTTCAGGTTTGTAGTCTAGACACATCACATAAACACTCAAAGCATTTGGAAACTTAGTAAATTTCTTACAACAGTGTTTAAGCTCAGAGATGCATCTGTTGCTAAGAGCAAAGAATTTCTATCAATCTAGCAAGATGGTATACTTTAAAGCTGGACTAAACAAGTTTTAAATAGTCAGCTCTATGGTGGATAGAAATGCCTTATGATTTCACAGAAGGGATAAAGTAATTTAAAAAACCCCATGGAACATGTTTTATTCATTCTTGGTTTTAATCAGTTCTGAAATATATTCACATACAGAAGGTCTGAATTACTGACATGAAGGGAAAAACATACAATAAAAAGGTTGAAGGTTTTATTTACCTTTTTATATGTTTTCTCTTCATTTGGCTTTCCAGCAGTAACGTCTCCATTTTCAGTAACAGACGACATCTAATAACAGAAGCTTAAGTTACAAAGAAGGTATTTGCTTTACAAAAGAAATTGTTCAGAAAAATAATACAATTTATTATCCATTTTTGCTAAATTCAAACTTTTCAGAGATCAGTGATGTATCTAGGATATTCCTTGTACGTATTTTCCACACAGACTAAAAGGACAGCAGTGGCCCAGGAATATGTGCAGCATATGACTGACTCTACATGACTCTGCTTCTTTTCCCCACACCAGTATGCAGTGAACTCATGGTCCTCAGCCTATTGCATGACATGTTCTTCCTGAAAGGGCAAAACTATGAAGCTTGTAAGCTGAATATTCAGTGGCATGTCTCAGTAGTCCAAGGTCCTTGGCTGCATCAATATGCTGAATCTCCTTAAAGTAGTAAGGGAAACATAGAATAACATGGAATTGCAGAATATTCTGAGCTGAAGGGACCCACAATGATCACCGAGTCCAATCCTTAAGTGAATGGCCCATACAGGGATCGAAGCTACAGCCTTGGCATTATTAGCATCATGCTCTGTTTGACATTGTATCTTATCACAGCTGTAAAGTGATTCTAGACCAAGGATAAACCACTAAGATAGAGATCACCTTGGTAAGACACCCTGAGTGCATCTGCCAAAGTAAACGAAACAAAACGGCACAATGACATGGTTTAAAATAATTCTAGATTTTACCAATACTTTCACAAGGGAATTATACTTACCCTTATGAACAACAGAACAGGTCATCTGGAGCTGAGAGTAAAGATCAAGCCATTCATTGGTGGTTGTAATGTTTTTCACAACCTATTGTAGGAAATATTTGTCATAACTATGTCTTAACAAATTTCCACCTCACAGAATAGCTGTAGATTTCCTTTTACTGCTATTCTTCAGCCCAAGCAAGCATTCAGCTACAAGTGAGGCTTTTAAAGAATCATGTCAAATAAGTTGGTTACTATACTTGGAACTTACTATACTTCAAACATATCATAACTTCGTTAGTGTAGTTAGAAACTGGCAGTATTAAACAGGAGGGAATCAGTGCAGAATAATTCCTTTTTGCCCTAGATATTTTACCCCTGTGGCACAAGCAACTCTGCAATAAAACATTTATGTAGAGCAGTACACATACATGGAGTGTTGTGTAATTACACGTGTTATTAATCTTACAGCCTTATAATCTCCAATCACTTATAAAAAATAGCTGTGATGGTTTGGAAGACAGCACATTGAAAGTCACAGATTACAAATTTGAAAAAAAAAATCTACTGACACCTTAAATGAGAAGACAATCTAACTTCGTCTTTAAGCAGTTCAAATAGTGTCTTGTACATAAATAAAAATTGGTTTAAGTAAGTATTCTCAGGCCTCATTCACTGATTTTAATTTTCCATTAATCTAAAGAGTACACTACCAAGGAACTTTTTAATAAAAGGAGTCAAAATCAGTATTTTCCTTTCCTTTTGAGAAGCACTTGAGCCAAAAAAAAAAAAAAAAAAAAAAAAGAAAATAAAAGGTAGGGGCACACAACAAATAGACTTGGAGTCTGAGAAGAAAAAAACTTGGAGTTTCTGAGAAGAAAACAATGTCTTCTTAGAAAAACATACTTCTTACATTGTATACCAGTATTTTCTTCCTGCAGCTAACTGCATTCTTCATTGTAGCCTCCGTGTAAGTAATGTGTGTTAATTAATAATTTCTTCATTTGGATGTGTATTAGCAGCATGCTATACACTGAACTCCTACTTAAAGGCAATGACTTCATTTTTATAGCTTTTTAAATTGTGTGTAGTTACCTTACTCACCTGTATTCACACATTTAATATTAATATTCACCCATGTGTACAACTCTATCAGTACACAAAGGCATCAAGAACTTGCTCAAACACCTTTTGTAGGAAAAGAAATGTCATTTTAATTGCTAGTAGATGGCTTTTAAAATAACTGATCACTGGGTTAAAACACCAACCCCCAGCCAAGCTGTTGTTCTCCACATACCTCCCAAGACTATTGATACTATTAAATATGATGTTCCACTGCACACAAAAGTTCCTAAATTATAAGCACACAGACTCAGCAAAAGCCAAACATAAATGCAGCATGGGAGCTTTCATTCAGTAAGTTAGCTGAAGAAAGCACTCATGCTAGACAGGGGAGAAAAGCCTGGTTTTTTTCCCAGCATAGACAGACAAATTATTCAAGAACACTTCACTTAGGTGAAAATATACCCCTGCAATGCTGACCACAATAGAAAACAGACAACAAGAGACCAAGTTCAGTAACTACCAAGTGTAAAAACTCATACACCATAAAGAAGGTAAATTTTTCCTGTATGTGTCAGTTCATTTCCTAAAGGCATTTAGAATAGAATTATTCTTGTTCTAATCTTTTGAGAAACAGAACACACTGCTCTATCTTAACTGTGGTTGTGTTAAACATCTTTTAAAATCTGTGCTGGGACAACCATCTCTTGTTCCATGCTAACAGTTTTTTGCAAAGCAAGTATTACTTTGTGTATTTTCCTCCTGCCCTAGAGCTACTGAGGCAGTACATGGTGCCTTCTTACATGCTTCATAATGCACAGAGCAACAGCTACTGTCTCAGTTCCGATGAGGTTTAACAGTTCAAAGATAGGTCACAACTTATAGTCTTGGACTCACTTCCAGGCTAAGCTACAACTATTTATTTTTTTGTTACTATAGCAGGAGACTACTGTAACTAAAGCTCTCAATCTCTGTATGTACCTGACAAAGGGAAAGCTCACAATAAAGTAAGACATGGGGTAGGTGTAGAGGAAGAAAACACTTTGTTTCAGAAATATTGTAGCATGGTGACTTCCACCGGGATTAAGTTAATTTTCTTCACAGTAGCTAGAGTGGGGTTAGGTTTTAGATTTGTGCTGGAAACAGTGTTGATACTTCAGGGATGTCTTCTACTCTTGCATAGTGCTTACACAGCGTCAAGGCCTTTTCTGCAGACTTGCTGCACCTTTCCAGTGTGTGGGCTGGGAATGCACAAGGAGCTGGGAAAGGAAACCAGCCAGGACAGATGAACCCAGCTGACCAAAGAGATATTCCAGACCACATGGCATCATGCTCAGCATATACAGCTGCAAGAAGAAGGAAGGGAGGATGGTCAAAGTGACTGTGTTTTCCTTCCCAAGTCACCGGTAGGTGTTATGGGGCCCTGCTTTCCTGGGAATGGCTGAACACCTTCCTGTCCATGGGAAATGGTGGATGAATTCTTTGTTTTGTTTTGCTTGCATGCACAGCCTTTGATTTATCTATTTACCTATTTGGAGATAAACAGTCTTTACCTCTGCCCCTGAATTTTCTCACTTTTACCCTATTGATTCTCTCCCTGATTCCATCAGGGGGTAGTGAGTGATCCAGTGTGTGGGGCTCAGTGGCTGGCTGGGCTTAAACCATGAGTAAAAGATGGCTATAATGATCTCATCTTTAGCTTCTTAGATGCTATTCTACCTGATAACAAAGAAAGAGAAACATTAAAGTACAGTAGGAATTGAAGGAGTTTTTTTCCTAAATACTCTTGAAGGGTCAACATTTTGGTCACAAATCTTATGTGCAATAAAAACTACTGTCTTCTTGAAACATAAGATTACAGCCTTCAGTTCCAGCCTTCTGCTCCAAACACCTCCTAGTCCTAAATGCAGACTTTAAAAAAATAACATCTATTCAATGTATGCTTAAAAAAAAAAAATTAAAAAAAAAAATCATGTTTCACAGTTTAGTTTCTCACACCAGAATCACAGAACCACATGCTTCTTAACTAACACAAACTGCAATTTCCATCACTCTGGGGGACAAGTGCCATAGGCATTTTCCTCTAGAGCTACAGGGACACCTTTTTTCTTTCTCTGATCAGCCAGAAGCCCACAATGTCAACACCACCCTGCCCACCACATAGCTGTCATTTTGGAACAGAGATGACAGACAGCAAACGTGAGTTTCCTACCCAGCTTTGATTTCTTGTTCTTGAATTTTTAATTCCATGTTACTTATATAGTCAAAATTTATCTTTTACTAACAGCATAAGGTATTCATTTTTGCAGATTATAAATAACCAGCTGTTTTTACACAACCCCAGTTGCTGAGGCCCTGCTCACATGAACAGGTATCTGTACCTTATACCCAAATGGCCTCTCAGCGCAATTTCAAGTTAACTTTACAACTTCCAACAACTTCAGTGAAAGCCAACATCCATGAAAAATGCTATTGCTAGATTCCTACAGACCCATGTATTAGTTCATTCAACCAAAAATCAAAAACTTTTTGGGTTTTTTTGAAGAATGCATTTCTCCAAAATTCATACCACTTTCTTAAACAAAGAATTTTTTAAAAGCATTAATAAAACATGTTGTTGAGGAATGACACTCCAAATAAGAGCAATGTAACTTTTCATTACATGTAATTACATGTTCTCGTTCTGAATGATAGTTAAAATTTAAATATTCTTCATAGCTTTTTTACAGACGTACCCCTGGGTGTACTGCTGTCAGGCTTCTGCAGTGAGTTAGAAACCTCACACAAAAGAAAACATATTTATAACTTCTCACAGGTGTAATCTTTAAATATGAGTAGTAAAAAACAAAAAATATTAAACAAGATTAAATGAAGCTTTAAATTTTCCATTAGGCAAAGGGAGAATACTAGAAATTAAAGAATTCAATAAACAATTGAATAATTGAATAAACAATTAAACGTACATGTGTTTAGTATTAATAATATACAAATAAAATAGATGGTACAGTGCAGATTTTTCAGTCTGAAACACATAAATGCATTTTCAGAAACACTTTGGGTTGGGGTTTTTTTGGCAAGTGAATGCATTGGGATGGAATACACAATTTTTGGCTCAATCCAGCAACTTCATTCTCATAGTTTCTGTGCATTTCAGATTACCTATTTATTTAACTGTTTTTAATCCTTGAATAGTTCTCTTTTTCCAGGAGGACACTAAATTCTCAGATTGTGGCAGCTGACTTCTCAGAAAAACACAAAGACTCTTACATTAAATTCATACCAATGATACTAACTCAGAACCAGACAAAAAATATATTATCAGAATAGTAATTCTATCTGTCCTAAGTAACAGTGGGAGTTTACACACCAAGACTGCATTCTTTCTTGATCACAGCAACTTGTCAGTACAACATGTAAGGATGTTGACAAGAATTTCTAGTCCTACAAACAGCATTTATAGTGAATTCCATTAAAAACAATCATCAGGTCAAATTAGTTTGTAGCTCCTCTCTCCCCTGTTACTACTTTGAAGCAGCAGCTTCTAAGACAACTATGAAAAGCATACTCATTCCATTACTGCAAAAGTCTTACTGGTGAGATTTGTTCAGACATATTTTCCTTATGGAAGCTGTAAGAGTAGCTTTTAAAGTCAGTTCTTCAGCTCACTAAAAGGACTTGCAGATCTCTAAGACAGCATTCTTCCACCAAACCAGATTGGGGACAGTCATACACTGCAGCTCTAGTGTGAAGCTGGAGACCTTTGTTACACAAAATTTTGCTAGAGGAGGCAAGTCATCTAAACCAAAAATGCTCTACAGTGGAAGAAATCCATGAATATTACATATAATAATATATATATATAATATATTCATTAATGAAAAGCTACTCTTTTCCTACTTGTTCTCTTGTGCTTCCCCTACCCATAGCTCAAACACCCAAAAACCTGTGGTATTAAAGCTACCTTAAGGCAGCTCCAAGATCAAAAGGCACTATTAAAGCCAACTCCCCTACTTCTTTGAAATTAGAAAGATTTGGGTTCAC